AACAAAAACAACAACAACAACAACAATTTTGTTTGGCAACTTACGCATTTAATGGCAACTTTGTAATTAATTTCTGTATTTCTCGTTTCGGAAATTTAAATATTCCAACAGACAGAGATGAGCTGTTAAATGTTTCAGATCTTTTCAAGCAAATTGGGCTCATCAAATTTTTTCAACGCATTTTCATAGCCAACACCCAGTTGGGAGGCCATCACCCCCCACCCACTGTACTGCCCCTCTGCTCATCCCATTGCCACACAGCTTTTCTCACAGCTCTTGGGTTCAATAACCGCCGCAAAATCTTGCGGAATTTCGATGGATCGCCGTCGTGCTATATCTTATCTGACAGATCATCAAATATGTGCCAACTGTAGTTACATATTACTCACATTTGTTGTTGCTTCGCTTGTTGTTGTTGTTGTTGCTGGCACTTTTGTCAGGTTTCTCACGTTCGCGCTCAGGGCAAGGGGTCAAATGCTGAGTAACAGCATAAATGCACTACAGTAAATACTCCAATAAGGAACAGCTGATTTTGGGCAAAGGCAACATTTTCACCCCACAATGTGTCCTCCACTGGGCCAACCGTTTTATTGTACATCAACCAAATTTGAAGCGTGTCAATCATATTTTATTTTAGCCAATTAAAATCATTAATTAACAATACAATTTCCACGCAAATCGACAATTAAAGCTGATAATCTTTTAAGCGGAATATCAAAGATTTTCAGCATTAACTTTTGTTTATCATAAACATATTTGGGAATATGTTTAAGACTTGGCAAATTCTAAACAAACTTTAATAAGAATGTGGATATGAGAAAAGTGCTTTAAATATTTGTTTGAATTTCTTTTGAATTTCTATAGCCTTGCAGAGGGTATTATGATTTTGTCGTGAAATGTATAACGCATAGAATATAATAATCTCCGATCCTTTAAGCTATATGTATTCTGGAGTCGATGGACTTAGATGCCAAGAAGTCTTAACAAAATCGGATGAGATTTGACCACGTTATGGGGGTGGAAAATATAGCATACCAGCGGGTATACCCCGGCCTTGCCAGTGACATGTATATAAAAAATTCATGCACACATGCACATATGCATGCATGTACGCATGCACATATACATGCATGCACGCCTGCATATATGAATGCATGTACGCATGCACATATACATGCATGCACGCATGCACACGTACATGCACGCATGCATACATACATGCAAACATACAAACATACATACATACATACATACATACATACATACATACAAACATACATACACGCATACATACATACATACATACACACATACATAAATCCACACATACATACACACATACATACATCCACACATACATACACACATACATACATACACCAACTTACCCGCCCCTCCTGCTCCTACTCCACCGCCGCAAGTTGCTCCTCCGCAGCCAACGTTTCCTGCCTTGCTGAATTTAAGCAGGGCCTACTTGAATTCTTGAGAATCGAGGAGGAGAGCACTTGGCAGAAATTCGTTTTATTTAAATTTGCAGCTAAGGAAAACAAACATGCATACACACATACATTCATAAATGCATACATACATACATGCATACACTAACACACACACGCCCACAAGCACACACATTCATGCATACACACAAACACACACACATGCATACTTATATGCCAAAATACTTGTATATTATAATTTATTTAATGCTGGCTTGGTATATTTATGCTTTTCGCATATTATTATAATTTGTTTGATTTTTATTTCTCTTCATTTCATTTAATTTTATTTAATTTTATTTTATTGTGCTTCATTGACAATGCGACGCGTTGTGTCTCGCTTACTTTTGACATTTGTATTTTATTATTTATTATTTTTTTGTTTTTAGCAAGATCAACAAACTGGCTGCCTCTGCTTGGGAAAGGGGAGGTGGGGGCAGGGCGCGGTAGGTGTGTGGCGATTGAAGGAGGAGGGAGGCGGGGGGCGTGGTTCAAACTGCGTACGATCGATGGCAGGCTTTTAGTTTACACTTTACACTCGGTCCAATTAATGGAATGTGTTTCAAGTCTTGCGCCTTGTGTTTTCTCAAAGTCAAAAGAAAACTATGCGCAACATGTTCCATCGCGGACAGTTTGACATTTTGGCACCCAGCTACAACAACAACAACAACAACAACAACAACAACAACAACAAGAAAAACCTTTAACAAATAACATACATAACATAACGACTCGACATCAACTCAACAAGTTCAACTTCAAATGCAAAACTTCGATTTGAATAACAATTGCAAAAAGCCAACACGAATAAAAAAAGTGAGAGTGCTCCAGTCGGGCATGCCCGACTAACAGTTAGCCTGTAAACTGTGGCGAGCCGACATTGACAACACTTGCAGCAGCAGCAGCTGTGCCTCTTGTATGCGTTGTCCAACACTGTGCGTGGAAAATGCATTCTCAATTAACTTCGGTGTTTAGAGTCCGATCTTTGTGAAATTTGCAGGGCTAAAACATGACATACAAAGGTTTGTACATCCCAAAGCTTGTGGCAAAATCTTGGAACTTTTAAACTATTAAAAAACATTATGTTCATAAGCCGTGTTGACAATACACGCAGCTTTATACCAAGTTTAATGTATGTAGATCTTATAATCCTCGAGAAAACTATAGAAGAAAGAAAAGAAAACTATAATCCAAAATCGTTATTTCTCGATATAATGAAAACTGGAGAAGATAAAGAAAATATTTGAAGTATCTAGCTTAATACATTTAAAACGGCGGAGGAACAGGGCTAGATCGACTCAGAGTTTCGTCCTGATCAATAATATGATACGAAGAAAATATGTTAACACTTGAAGAATCTGGTAATCTGATATATATATAAGTTATTCGCCTTGATCCCTGGAGATCTTGTAAGCCTTCTACAGTTTCTATTATACATGAGCTCAATTTTAATCTAGCCTTTCCCTTACTGAGTACAGGGTATTGACAAAAAAAAAAACACAACTCGAGTTGTAACAAGTATTTTGTAGACGCTGCTGTCCGATGTCTTTTGCTAATTGCTTGCCAGTTGTAAAAGGGGCGTTGGCCACGCCCACGCACAAAAGCCCATACATGGCCAGCCGGAGCAGCAGCAGCTCCTACCTCAGTTTGAGTCGCAGTTCGAGTCCCCGTTCCCGTTCGCGTACCCAGTTCGAGTCGTGTGCCTTTGTTGTCTGACCCAGAGAGTCGGAGTCTGTTGCAGACAAAAGACATAAAACCCCATTTACCGTTAGCTGCGTTATTCATGCAAATGACTTTGGCTAATTAGAAAACAACAACAAGAAAAAAACAACAGAACGGAAAATTATGACCACAGCGCCGCGAATTTAACATGCGCCTTGCACAAAAATGATTTAGACTAGACATTTAGTGGAATATATGCGCATATATATATAGATATATATAGATATAGATATGTGTATGTGCACAATTCTGACGCCAATTGCGCAAATCATGCAACAACATTTTTTTTTTAATTTCTATTTGCAGCACGCTCAAATTTGTGCCGATCGTGACAATGTCACAATTGTTTTATCTCAATGCCAAACGGAAATTCTAGGATACGTATTTGTACAAAACGGAAGATCGCAACAATTTGTATTTATCTACTTATTTCCTCACACGTCATAATTAAGTGCAACTAAAATGCAATTTTCGCACCTGGAAAAAGTTTGTTAAAATTCCCAACTAGTCTACAAATGTTAGCAGAAAACATTTACTAATTCAAACTTAATTAAGTTTATACAAATTCCCCTCTTTCATAGCCAAATTTTCAATCTGATAGATACAGATACAGATATAGATGTAGATATAGATATAGATGTAGATATAGATATAGATATAGATATAGATATAGATATAGCTATAGATATAGATATAGATATAGATATAGATATAGATATAGATATAGATATAGATATAGATATAGATATAGATATAGATATAGATATAGATATAGATATAGATATAGATATAGATATAGATATAGATATAGATATAGATATAGATATAGATATAGATATAGATATAGATATAGATATAGATATAGATATAGATATAGATATAGATATAGATATAGATATAGATAGATATAGATATAGATATAGATATAGATAGATATAGATATAGATAGATATAGATATAGATATAGATATAGATATAGATATAGATATAGATATAGATATAGATATAGATATAGATATAGATATAGATATAGATATAGATATAGATATAGATATAGATATAGATATAGATATAGATATAGATATAGAAGGATTTATTATACCAAAATCCGAGCCAAGCCTCATTTTTCTTGAAAAATGCTTTAGTTGAATATATATATATATATATCTTTAGGGAGACTCAGCTCTAATGCCCCGAACATTTGAACTATCTATTCATATAGAGCTTCAGGTAGAGCTCAAATCTAGCCTCTTTTTTGTATATGAAAATATATTTAGTAATATCTATATTCTCAGTACAACAGGCAATTTATAATACACATATATGCATAATACATAAAGATAATTGTTTTATACAACTTTTAAGAGTATACGACACAACAGGGTTTGAACCAGAAACTGGCCTAAAGCATGCGAAACATTAGCTGCACGAATGGAACCCAAGGACAAGCAATTAGTTTGAACTGTGAATCGAACCAGCGACAAAATCTGAACCATCAGTTATATAGAATAAATGGGTGTAGAAAAATCTAGTTAAAGTTATTTCAATAAAGTTATATATGATAGTTATATAACTATTTAATTATATAAGCCCATAGATATTTTCAGTATGTCTAGATAGTAACTAATGCGATTGTACTAAAAACATAACGGACCGTTTCTTGCCAGATCTTTGAGCAAGATGAATGTAATCGTGCCACACAATCCGACTAGGAAGTGTCGCACGTCAGTTTATAAATAATTGCAATTAATTGCGATTAACATGAATTTGCATTTAACTTACAATTGGCCAAGTTCTGGAGACAATTATATTATGGCAGCTAAATATGGTAAATATATATGTATATATATATATTTACTTTGCGATAAGTTCGGGAAGAGCCCGGCGATATAAATCAAACACGCGAATTATGTCAAATTTGCAGTCACAAACAATAAATTGAATTTTTTCGCGCTGACATTAAGCAGATACGCGGCATTCGCTTGTGTAATAAATTATATAGATGCCTGTACAGTATGCAAATATATATATATACGTCGAGGATTGTGTAAATATTTGCTGCTCCAGCTGCTTCCGTATGGCAAGCCAAAAAATAACACCGTAAAAATCTGTTTCAAGTGATTTTTCCTGCCGTTCACTGATCACGTTCGTTGCGTGATATTTGATCCGGTTCCGATCACGTTATCTGCTTGCTTGGCGCAGCCAGCAACAACTGTTCGCTTAGAAGTCCCGAGACGAACTGCGATCAGGCACGAGAGAAACCGAAAGTGCGAGTCCAGTTGCGCGCTGCCCGCTGCTCGCGCTCTGAGCCGAACCGTTTGTCGGCTTCGGCTTGTCGGCCGAATACAAACTTGGCCATTCGCAGAACAAGTTCGCTTTCTTTGTTCGATGAGGCGCTGTCGACGCCGCCGACGACGCTGACTTTGCGTTCGCTTAGCTGTTGGCTGTCCGACGACGTCAGCGTCGGCCAATGCCGACTGAGAATGCGACAGCAACTGCATTCGCTGCTGCTGCTGCCTCTGCTGCTTCTGCCTCTGCTGCTGCTGCTGCTGCCTCTGCTGCTTCTGCTTCTACTGCTGCGACTGAATTGCAGTTCTTTTTATACTCTTACAGTGTGCATTTAAATTTTTTCAAGCAATGTGTAACACATAAGCACAACTTTTTTGTTTTTCAAAATATTTGAGTGAAACTTAACTAAATCATTACCATATCGTATATAGGGTATATGGGTTGTACTCTATTAAATGGCTTCTACGAGAATCCCCACCGGATATGGAGCTTTCAACGAGCTGTGTAGATATACATATTTGGCAAACTTTAAGATATTTTAAGTATTGGCGTTCTTAACTTGCGATTATTGCGATCTTGGAATGACTGAAGTTGGACTAGAAATAATGAAAACACAAGTAAGAGTGCTTTAGTTAAAGTTTCCTGACTAGCAGATACCCTAAACGCAGGCCCAAACTAAATTAACTCTGTTGATATACCTAAGATATACCTAAGCACAAGGCTATAGCTATACAAATGATTTGAATACTCTGAAAGTGGGTCTACTCTATGAGAATGTACATATCAAATTATTAAAATCTGGATTTATGATTAGGAAGAAATCGTATTTTATCTGCCCTAAATTTTTTAAAAATATTCTTAGCAAACCGTATTTGATCTGCCCAACATTTTCTTTTACATATATTCATAATCGTATCAAGATACATATTATAGGATCACAAAATAGATCATCTTGATATTGAAAATGTTGTTTAAACATTTCAGTCACGTTTGCATTGTAAGAGTATTCAGACTTCGGCGCAGCGTAGAAATCTACGCGCTCTTGTTTGTTTCTGTCGACGTTCCCCCCCCGCAAGCTAGCTGCAGCAAAGCACATAGATGAGAGCAGTTGTTGTTGTTGTTGTTGCCTGCTTTTTATGGCTCTGTGTGTTCTTCGGTGGCGAGTTGTTAACTTAAATATTTGTGCTTGACTATGCCGAGCTGCCCGTCTCGAGCTGATCTTTGCACAGAAGAAGTTGCCACAAGAACTCGTTTGCTGGCCCTTGCCCAATTGCGGCGACATCGACGGCGGCTGTCAACATGACCCCCCCCCCCCCCCCCCCCTCGAGGAGCAGGGGAAGAGGAAGGGAATTACCAGATGTGACCAGAGCGCATTCAGGCCTTGTGATCGCATTTATTGGGCCATTAGCTGCCGCTTATTGAGTGGGAACACCCACGCGGCAAAGCTAATCAAAACGGGCCTGATAACAGAGGGAGAGAGAGAGGGGGCAGAATGGGAGAGGGAAGTCTTTTAACTGATAACACTTCATTTGCATTGCGTGTGGGTCGCCTCAAACTTTTGCCACATCTATTGTAAACATATTTAGTTAATTTGACAGCCATTTGATGATGAGAGAGAAAAAAACATAAAAAGATGGGCAACTTTTTAAGTGGCAATCGAATCGAATCTGTGAAAAAGCAACGCGCCATACAAGCCTATCTTCGAGATCTCCCTCAAACTCTTGCTTATACTCTAGCTCAGGGTATGCACACTTTGGCCTGCCGTTTGTCACACGGTTCCCCCCCCCCCCCCCCCCCCCCCCCTCTCGCGCTCTGCGAATAGTCTCTCAATTCTGTTTTCATGGCTAAAACATCGTTTGTTATTCAATAAATAGAAAATAAATAAAATATTACCATGCAAAATTAACATAGAAAAACACTTTAGAGCTGCGCAGTTGAAATGTACCGACTGCACAATACTCTGTATTTGCATAAAAACCAAAATAGAGCTGCAAAAGATTTTTGCTTTCAGCTTTCAAGGATTCATAAGGTATAAATCGTTTATAAGTTGGCTCTAAAACTGTAACTCTTTTGTGACTGTCAAACTGTACATAGAATTTTAAATATACTTATTGGTTGTTCAACCTAATGATGACTTTAAAACTGTAGAATTTTAGGGCCGCCATAGTTATTATCTCAAGGTTTGCGGCTGTCAAACTGTAAGTAATCAATAATGCTGTGACTACCAAACTGTTAGTATATACTATAGATTAGCCCAAAGGAGTAGCCCAAAGTTGGTGTCGAAATTGTATATTAAGTCTATTTTGATTAATAGTTCATGCTTACAGTGACTTTAAAACTGTAGAGGTAAAAGCCAGCCAAGGCGATAAATTAGCCCGACGTTTGTGACTGTCAAACTGTAAATTAATATCTAGCACTGCGCTTTTATAACTTTAGGCAATGCATTTTAGCTAACGACAAACCAAATACTCTAAGCTGACTCTAAAACTGTAGAATAGTAACTGTGACTCTAAAACTATAGGAAAACTGATGTTTGCCCATCTTCGTGTGCTTAGAAGACTGTGAATTAAATACAACTATTAGATATTTGCCTTTATTATTAACTCTCAAACTGTAAGCGATGACTGTTAAACTGTAAAATACAAGACTTTTAATGGCGCTCAGCCGCAACCAGGCTCTTAAGCTATAGGAACTAATAAACTCTTCTGTCGCTATTTGAACAGAGTATATCCGAATATTTTTACAAGAGTTAGAACTTCGATTGGAGTTGGTGGGAGGACGAGGGTATTGGGGCAGGGGGTTTGGGGCTGCCATGTGTCAGCAGATTGGAGAGTTAGGATCGTTTCATTATGGAGCCGACGACGTTGTCTGCGTTTGCAATTTGCTTGTTTTGTTTGCCGCGTCATGCCCAGGCCCAGTTTGTTTTTTAGTGGGCTGGGCCCCACAATTCGCAGCAATATGCAATGTCATATGGGGCCACGCCCCCCGCCGCCCTGCCGCCCCTTTCCGGCTGTCAGCGGGCGAGCAGGCGCAAAAGACAGGGCCATAAATCGAGCGCATGTGTCCAGCAAATTGTCAAAGATCTTTTGACACCAGCTGCGTCAGCTGCTGCGGCCCAGAGGAATAGATGTTAATTTATTTGATAACGCTTTTCCACACGATGCGACGTTGACGGAAGCGCACGAATTGGCCAATTCGCCAAAGCGAAACTCAACTTCGATTTGTTTGCATTAGTCGCAGCGATCAACTGATCAACCGATCAACTGATCAACTGATCAACTGCTCAACTGATCACTGATCACTGATCGTCGCGGCCTTGGCGCCTTATTAAGCAAATGCATTAACAACTTCCTGGTTGTTAAGGATAAACACGATGCTCGCTTAATAAAACATTTTCTAATTAAATCTCTACACATAAATCATGACTAGAAAAGTAGATAATATTCTTGGCTCGCGGTTCGAGTTGCCCGATTTGCAGCTAGAATTCTATGCAAACAGAATGTGTTGCGGTTTTTCTTGGGGGGAATTGCAATTCCTGCAGCGAACCGGTTCATTGGCAATTGTAGATTCTGCTTTGAACTGGTTCATTTCGAGAACTGCGATTGACATAACTCAAGATTTGAGCTCCCGGTTTGCAACTAGAATTCAACATAAACTAAAACTGTTGCAGTTTTTTTTTTGCGGAATTATAGCTCGAAGTTCGAGCTCCCCGTTTGCAACTAGAATTCAATATAAACTAAAACTGTTGCGGTTTTTCTTGGGAGGAATTATAATTCTTGCGGCGAACCGGTTCATTTCGAGATTTTGAGCTCGCCCTTTTTGCAACTAAAATTCTAAACAAACTAAAACCTTGACGTGTTTCTTTTATTTTTCTTTTATATTTCCTGCTCCGAATCGGTTCTTTTGGAAGAACTCCAATTGATTTAACTTGAGGTTCGCGTTACCGAGCTTTAATTCCAGCCTTGAACCGGTTCATTTAAAAAACTCCGGTTCTCCGGTTACCGGGCTTGAAACTTTGAATTCAACGCAAGCTAAAACGATTTTTTTTGGGAATTATAATTCCTGCTTTGAACCGGTTCATTTGAAAAAACTCCAATTGATTTAACTTGCCGGACGGAGTTGGCTTTGCCTTGCTGTGCTCGGTGCGGCTTTGATTTGTTTAGAGTTTACGGACAGCAAGTAAATACATCTTGGCAATAAACAAAAATTTCTTGACACACATTTGTTGGCAAAAATTAATCCAAAAAAAAAATAACCATAAAAAAGCCATGTTCTCGTTTACCTTCTGGAGGAACGAGGCGAAGAGAAACCAGCGCGAGAATGTCTCGCAGATCTGGAAGGATTTGAATGCAACATTTGTGACGTAAGCACAGAGTGAGAGTGAGAGAGTGAGAGTGAGAGAGATAGAGAGAGACAGCAGACTAATTTGTAGCTGTGTTGCAGTTTCCTCGGTTGGAGCTGGTTGATTTACACCATCGCCGTCATTGTCATCTCCATTTGCGGCTACTTCGCCTACTGCGAAAGCTGCCGGAGAACTGAGATTGTCCGACGGAGACGCGTCGTTCAGCGCGCCCAGGAAAGGTAAGAAATATTATCTATCCAATAGCTGGCGATATAGAAATGAGCATAAGTTTATGTACACTCATATATAATACCCTAAATGAATTCATGAAAATCGCAGAGTAGGGCGGCACTTAAATGTATGTTTGCGCTCTTAAAAGCGATCTGCATTTATTTAGTCCTTTCGATCATAGTATATGATAGAAATGGACATCAAATGGTGTATGAATTCCTGAGAATCGCAGAGTAGGGCGGCATATAAAAATACGTTTGTATTCAATTTGCAACGCAACGGTTAACTTAGTCTATAAACTTTTGCACTTTGATAATCGAACAGTTTTTTTTTAAATCTGAATAGTTTTTCGATATGATAGAATATTGTACAATTTAATAGCTGAGAATCGCAGAGAAGAGCGCTATTATATACAGAGGAGGGCGATATTTATTAAAAATACAGCCATACTTTCCGCCCAATTAAACTTTTAGAAAAGTCTATAACATCAAGTTTTCAGAAATTTCATTGAAAATTATATTCACACATTTGCCAAACACTTTTCCACCTATTCACGTGGAATGTCGCCGTCAGTCAAGAAGGACAAACAAGTTGCAGATACTATGTATATGCAATAGAGCTTATAATATATACAAAATTCAACTTACAATACATATATTCTGTGGTTATGTGTTCCACTTAACAAATGCGATTGAAACAATAATAGTTCTATTTGGAATGCCAAAGTGCAGTCTGTGCATTTCGATTGAAATGTTTATTTCAGCCGAACCATTAACTGCTCGTTTATTTTTTAATAGACCACCGCAGAAGCGACGCCCGAATGCTGCCTATCGGGATCATCAGATCTATCGTCACATCATTCTCAGTGTGGCCAAGTATATGAAGAATCCAGAGGGAGTGCGACCGTTCATCGATCACATGGACCATCTGTATCCGTTGCGGCACTCGCAGGCCGAAATGGCGCTAAACATTGGCCACACTGGCAACGAGTCGAACGGCGCAGAGGATTGAATTGGAAAGCTTGTGTCGGCATTATTTTCATATTTCCTTTTTTTGTTCAAATTATCGACAAGCCCGTGCGAGCACACACACAGAGACTGTAAATTTGATAGACCCGCCCATGCCCTTTCACTTTTAAACCGCCATCGTGTTGAAACGAAAACAAAATTAAAGACAGACCACAAAAACGTGTGCTTCTCTGTGCTCTTCTTCTTCTTCTTCTTCTTCTTCTTCATCGTCTACTATAACTGTTCATGCGCAGTTGTTGCGGCCTAAAAATATGCAATGCTATTTATAACGGCGCGTCGTCGACTGGCCGCCGCTTCCAGCAGGCGACTGGAAGGCCCGACCAAATATAAACAAATGCCATGTGCGTCAAAAGCTCGGCGAAATGCGAAAAAGCATCGCCATAAACTAGGCGAAAGCTCGCCTGCCTCTCTTTCCTGTTGCGTACTAATGCAGGCGCGCTTTCCAGCTCGCGCGCTCGCTCTCACGCGCGCTCTCGCTCTCTCGCGCGTCCGCTCTCTCGGGGCGTTAGTCCACTTGCTGCTCGCGTCGTTGGCCCAGTCGCCAGTCAGACAGTCAGCGCGTCGCACGTACGCACGCATCGAGCAGCAGCAGCAGCAGCAGCAGCAGCAGCAGCAGCAGCAGTAGCAGCAGCGCGGGCGCGTTCAGTGGTTGTTGGAAACAGTCAGACACACACCAATACATTCACACCTACACACACGCACACACACACACACGCGCGCGGCCAGCAAACAAAATTTTTCTGTTCCGCTTTTGGCCAAAAGTCTTTTTCATTTAAAATTTTCCCTTTACATTTTATGTGTCAACGGGCGAGCAAAAAAATAAAATAAAAGAAAAGTTGATAACATAATTTGCAAGTTTTCAGCTAGTCAAATTATGCAAATTTATTTAATTAACTTGTGAATAATTGAAAACGAAAAAAAAAATCAGGGCGCACACCTGCGCACATGTCACACACACACACACAGACTGTGCACCTGTGTGTGTGTGTGTGTGTGTGTGTGTTGAAGGCTAAGCAAAGCAGCAGCAGCTAGCAAAAGAAAAGCCAACAAGTAAAAAAAGAAAAAGGAAAAGCATAAAGTGTGGCATGTGCCCCAAAAACATTGGAGGCAACATCAATGCCAGGCAGCACGTGTGGCAAGTGCGCGAAAACTATGCGGAAATTGAAAAATGAAAAAGAAAATTAAGAATTCATTCACAACAATTTATAAAGAAAACCCCGAAGCATTCAATATTATTGAATGCCAAAATTCTTAAGAAAATAAAAGAAAAGCAGAATTTTAACATAACAAAAGAAATATTCAAAAATTAGTACGAAAATATATAGAAAAAATAAATAATAATAAATAAATAAATAAATAATACATTTTAAGAAATAAATCAACTTCAGAGGAGAAAGAAAATGTTTTAAAATATCATTATGTTCCAAGAATTAATAAGAATTTTAAAATGAAAAATGATAAAGAAAATGTTGAGGCATAAAATATTATAAAAAGCATAAATATACTAAAAATTATAAATACAAAAATTAAATAGCTAAAAAAAAATTATATTAATAAATAAAAAAAAATTTAATAATTATAATAATACCAAATAAATACTAAAAAAACCTTTAGGCATAAAATATTATTGAGCAAAATTTGTTATAGACAATAAAATTTAAAAAAAAATTAAAAAAAAAAAAACAAAAATTGTTCAAATGAAGGCAAATTTTGTTAGTACCAATCTCTTCAAACTTTTGTTTTATAACAATGCCCTTTATTAGTTAGAAACCCGAACAGTTTTTTAAACAATGATCTCTCTTAACATTAAGTCTAAGCATTTTTCTAAATGTTTCGCGAAAAAAGAGTGCATTATAAAGTCTAAACAAATGCATTTCATCATCAACAAAAAGCGGGGCGGGGTCATGTTCACGTTTCATAAACAATCTTAAATCGAGATTCTACAGAAAAGACCAGTGTTAGTCAGTGTTTTGTGCGTGTTAAGCGAGCTTTCACTGTGCTTCTCTCAAATACCCTATAATGCCACGCCTTAACATTTATGTAGATTGCGTTTTAGGCCCATATTACTTATCATTATCTTGAAATAAATTTGAATTAAATGCATGCATTAAGGTATTATTTGATTGATTTACGAGCGCCCTAATCAGTGTGACCTAATCGTAAATAATGCCCACGCACCTAGACATTTGATTGTTTTTTCCGCCCCGTTTGCAGCCAAACAAAGTGATAAAGACAAAGTGTTCAAGACAAAATGTAATAAATGTAACTAAATATACAACAACAAACAAATAACGAGAGTAAAAGCAACAACAAAACACCAAAACAACTTAACGAAAACAAAAAAGAAAATAAAAATGAAATCAACAAAAACAAAAACGAATCTGTAACCAAAAATGTTGAACAACACTCGAAAGATGTCATGTCAAAGGTGAGTATACAACACTGGCTGCAGCCATAGACACACCTAGAAACAACACACACACACGCATACATGCACACACACGCATCCTACCTCAACAGCAAGCGGAAGCAGCATAGCAAAACATGGACAACCCCAAAAATGCCCACAAAAGCAAAAGTTAACGGTGCCTGGCAGCCAAATGCTGCGCTGCTCGCTGCGCACTCCAGCATCTGCGTCGGCGTCTCTGCAGCTGTGCCTTCAGATAGGCAGCGCAAACAAGCAAATTGCTTGAAAAGCTCAATGCAAAAAATGTTTGGCAAGCGACAGCTCAGGCAGCGCAGTCACTCGGCAGCTAGTTAAATGTTTGGCAAGCAGCAGCAGAAAGCAGCGCAGGCAGCGCAGTCACTCGGCAGCTAGTCAAATGTTTGCCAAACAGCAGGCGGGCAGCGCAGTCAGCAGCAGCAGGCAGGCAGCGCCGTCACTCGGCAGCAAGTCAGATGTTTGGCTAGCAGCAGCAGAAAGCAGCGCAGGCAGCGCCGTCACTCGGCAGCTAGTCAAATGTTTGGCAAGCAGCAGGCGGGCAGCGCAGTCAGCAACAGCAAGCAGGCAGGCAGGCAGCGCAGTCACTTAGCATCTAGTCAAATGTTTGGCAAGCAGCAGGCGGGCAGCGCAGTCAGCGCAGCCTGCCGGGATTAGCGCCAGCTAAAGCCAAGTCGCTGCGTAAATATTGAAAAGCTCATTTGAGCAGCGCTGCCAGCGTCGCTTCAGCTTAACATTTAACGTTTTTATGCTTCACACACACATACATACACGTGTAACTTTTAACAGGCGCTGGGCTTATCAATTGAAACAGTTTCCAGTGCTTGCAAAAATATATATTCATGCTTTAAATATGTGTGTAAATATTTATGGGAATAAACTAATGCGATTTGGTTTGAAGAAAATTGAAAAGTAAAATAAATGAGGTTTAGTTTTTCGGGAAAAATTATGAGAATCTAAAAGAAATCAATTTTCTTTCTGCGTAAATTAAAGGAAGGAAGTCTTTGCGATCGATATCGATTATCGATAGTTAAATGCCCTGTAAATACTTCAAAGACGTTTCATATAAAAACTTAGGTTCCGGCTAAGGAACTATATGATATAGAAGTTTGCTTAAAGGAAGATTTTGGATATTTATGTTAGCGACACAACATCCAATCGATAACATGCTATCGATAAACAGCTGTTAAGTATTGTGCGATAACAAAGTAAAGAGTGTTGGACAATTGCAGAAAGTAAAAGCGAGTCGATAGCAAAGAAACGAAAAAAACTTATTCATTTTAACAATAAAAGGTTAAAAATTAAGGATTAAAGATTATAATAACTAGGTTTGGTACGAAAATTTTGAAAATTTCAGCGAAATTGTGATTTTCAGTTTAAAAAATTGCATTTTTTTGGGAAATTAAAGAAAAAAACTAAAAAAAAATAAATGAAAAGCTTACGTATTTCTTTATAATTTCTTTCTAAATGTGGTTCAATCCATTTTGTATATTGCAAGTGTTTGCTTTCACTAGCATTGCCCCATTTCCAGTAACAACTTTTCCTTTATAGGCAATTTCTCTTTGGGGGTGGGGCTGGGGGCTGGTTTTCCACCCCGCCGCACTGGCATAGCTGAGCCTGTCGTGTCCTGGCGCTTATCTTCGTCCGCTTCAACTTGGCAGTTGCCGTCTTCTTCTTCTTCTTCGGCAAGTTGTTTATTTTGTCGTAAATTTCTGCGGCTCAAGGACGGCGCGCCCGTATCATAATATTACACGTAACAGGGGGGGGTGGGGGGTCAGTTTATCGATCACACAATGGGAAATTTAACACCTTGCCACAGAAAGTTGCGCTGCAAAATTGTGTGTTACGCCCACTTCAAGGTCGCCTTCGGCTGCCTTTTGCATAATTCTAGGGTCACCAGATCGACCTGGCCTCTCGCCCCCTCTCCCTCTCTCCCTCTCGGAGCTGGGATATTTCACACATGGCCGGGCTGCATGCAACATTTGCACTTGCGTCCAGCTCACAAATTACGTTGCATACTTCAAGGCTGGCCGCTAATTTACATGTCGAACGGCGCGTGCAACACTTTGCCGCTTTCACTCGGCTTTCCTTTCATTTTTTCCCAAGCGCTTTTCTTGGTAAGCCCCACCATCCCCTACCCCCTCTTATTGCCACATTTATAAGCTGGCGCGTAATTGTTTTCTCTCTCTTCCCTAGCTTCCACGCCCACATTTGCAATTAGCCTAGAAACAACTTAATACCCCCCCCCCCCTCCCCTGCATATACGAATTATATCTATTTATGGGGCATATTGGGCAAGAGCTTCTCCTTGTCATTCTTCCTTTCGCGCTCTCTCTCTCTCTCTCTCTCTCTCTCTTCTACTATATACTATTACTATATACTATTTATACTATATATATAATATATATAATATATACTATATACTATAGAAGCGAAGTTAATCAAGAATGCACTTTCCACATATTGTGCAAGTCAAAATTCCTGTAAGAAATATTCCCCAAAATCTCCTATAGACATGGGTCAAAATTTCCCACCCCCATAACTCGGTCAAAACTAAACCAATTTCCATGAGGTTTGGCTTTTTCTTCATGGTTTTCCCTCTAGATTGATTTGGCGTTTAAGTCTGACAACCCATTTTTTGGTCGAAATTCATCTCCAAATCTTACCCCTAGGATTCGTATATGGACATGGGTCAAAATATCCCACCCCCATAACTCGGTCAAAA